AGGTGTACGTGGCTGGCGCCTTAGCCGGTTGAGCTATAGGCGCCGAGCCAGAAGGCTCAATCTTGAGGTGCCTCGTGCCACCTGTTCCTCTTTATCCAACAAGAGCAAGTAATCCACTGGCTGTGTTGCCACCTTCATATTTGAAAGGGTGGAGGAAGCTTTTGAGTTGCTGCATAGGAAGAATAATAAAAAGGTAAATTTTATTATCATAGATAATAGTCACCTTGACACAAAACTCCTGTAAGGCCTTGTTTTGGAAATAGAGCAGGTACTCTCTAGCAGACAAATATGTTTTGGAAATAGAGCAGTTACTCTCTAACACACAAATATGTTTCTGACATACGTAGTAGGAGCTCTGAAAGTTTTAGCTGAATGAATGAACTCAGAATGTCCAAGTTAGTTCTGATATTCCTGGAAACAACATCGAGCTGCTTGCTTACTCTTGTTTTTCTTCACTCTTGGTTTTTAAATACACAGATGATATGTATTTATTATATCTAATGTAGACAACCTCCCAGAAAACAGAGGGGGAAAAAGAAGATGACATTTTTGTAATACCACCCATAGTGCTAGCCATTCTGGTGTGTCCTTCCAGCTGTGAATGTGAGTGTGTGCAGCGTGTATACACATTTTCCTCTCAGTGGAATCAAACACAAGGAGACAGCACACGCCCCAGAGGTAATTCTCCACTGCCAGCATGGCCCTTTAAAAGCTGTGTCCTTGGCAAGTTATTACATGTCCCTAAATCTTAGTTCTCACTCTGTACAATGAGAAAAAGGAATCAGTAACTGCCTTGTGGGGATATTAGGAAGACTGCAGGAGATGATAAAGGACCCGGAGCAGGGCAGCTGGTCCTAGCAAGCACCAGAGAAATGTCTGCCTTTCTGGTTATCACAGAGTATTACATCTAGTTGATTATCCCACGCATTATTAACATCAGGGTTAATACGTATTATTTTAACCTGCTTTTTCACTGAGACGCAGGCTGTAAAGATCTTTCCGCACCAGGAAGCCCATTTCTACTGGACCATTTTTGATGACCATGGTCTGTCCTCTAGCTGCTGTGCAATTTACTAACCAGCTGGAATCTTTTTTTTTTTTTTTTAACTTTTTTTCTGTTAATAGTCTAGCAGAGTTGACATCAGAGAAGAAGACAGAACTTTTCATTTAATAACTCTTTTTTCCTTTCCTAAGAACTAGCTGTATACTATTCACAATTACTGACCAAAAGTGTATTATCTTCAGGTACTTTGAAGGTGAAACCAGCGTCAAACTTGTGACAAATGTCATTGTCATTTGATGCCAAGCCACTAATATTTAGTAACATCCATTGTCTGAGATGGGTAATTTTTTTGGTCTACTTTTCTATCCTCAAGCAACATGATGATTGAAACTTTCTGTGCTTCCCCCCTGTACATGTAGAGGTGGCTGATGTGGGAAAGTGCAGAAAGGGCAGATTTCTCTGTTTGCCAGCCTTGGATCAGCTCCGCAGCCTTGACCTCTGAACTCATGTGCTGTGATATTTCCCATTTGGGACTGTCAGGAGGTCTTAATGATCTCACTGCATCCCACAACACGGCCCTTCACTGTACATAAGAACAAAGAGCTGTGTGAAGGAAGCCCCTTTAGAGTCTCATCTAAATGGTGTCTGATTGCTTTTGTTGACCTTTAAAAGTTGATCAAGGGCCACTTTCATTGAAAAGACCTTATCAATCTCCACTTAAAGACATTATCATCTCTACAGCATTTTGCCTCAATAAACAATCTAATCTCTTTCTAATAAGTATATGCTAGCAGCGGGGTCTGGATATAAGGATATGTGGACTCTGGGGTAGGCTTGGAGACACAGCAGTGACTGGAAATGGTGTTAACTTGGAGGAACTTGGCTGGGCACCGTGGCTCACACCTGTAATCCTAGCACTCTGGGAGGCCCTTGTGGGAGGATCACTTGAGCTCAGGAATTCAAGATAAACCTGAGACAAGAGCGAAACCCTGTATCTACTACGGGGCATTGTGGCAGGCACCCGTAGTCCCAAATATTGGGGAGGCTAAGGCAGGAGGGTTGCTTGAGCCTGGAAGTTGGAGATTGCTGCTAGCTAGGCTAATGCCATAGCAGCACTCTAGCTTGGGGCAATACAGTGAATCTGTATCTCAAAAAAAAAAAGACTTTTTTGGAGGAACTTTCAAACAAGCAGGGGAGATACACAAGTCACTGCAAGGAGATAAAAGCAGTGGTCAAGGACATTAGAGAAGAAAGGGAGAGCGAGCTGACCCGGGAAGGCTGTCAGAGGAGAGGGTGCTCCAGCTCTGCCCACCTAGCCTCAGTTGTGAAAGAAAGGATGGTCTCCGCAGAGGTAGCTGCTGCCAGTAGAAAAGGCAGGGGGCAAAGGAGGTCCTGAAGGGTTTGGATGGTAACAGGACTTGAATGGAGGGTATGGCTTGGAGGGGAGGATAGAGGGGGATGAGTTCAGAGAGCTGGGCAAAGGGATCTCTACAATGCTGGCCTGCCAGTCAGGAGCGTTAGACTATCCCAACAGCAAGACAGGGGAGGCCACTGAAGATCTTAAGTTTGCGGAGCTTGGATTGCCCAAGAAACAGTGACTTTTTTTTTTTGGAGACAGAGTCTTCTTCGCCCTCGATAGAATACCATGGTGTCACAGCTCACAGCAACCTTCAGCTCTTGGGCTTAGGCAATTCTCTTGCCTCAGCCTTCCAAGTAGCTGGGACTACAGGTGCCCATCACAATGCCCAGCTATATTTTTGTTACAGTTTGGCCAGGACTAGGTTCAAACCTGCCACCCTTGATCTATGGGGCGGGTACCCTACTCACTCCGCCACAGGCACTGCCCAGAAACACAATTCTTAAGGGAGAAAAAATGGTTGGCATTAAATTTGAGCCCAAACCAGTGATATCTGGGGTAGCCCTGCCAACGCACAGCACATAGGCCATGCAGGGTTTGCCTCAGGACCTCACAGATTGAACCTGCCAGATTAGCTTCAAGGACTGGTTGGTGCCATGGGATAATTCGTGATGGGGCTTTAATTGTGTCCCCACAGGAAAGCTCTGCAGAAGACCTCCTCCAGTTAACATCTAAGAGTTTGCCTGATCTGACCAGCTCCGTGGAGGACGTGTCTTCTTGGACTGACAACGAGGACCAGGAGGCCGACGGAGAAGAGGACGAAGCAGCTGGCCCGTCTTCCCTCCAGGGAGCAGTAAGTGCACCTCTGGGTTCCCAGGCTCTCTGCTAGGATGTGTTTACTTAAAGACATGAGTGCCGGGATCAGAGTGGAAATGCTTCGGACGCCATGATAGAGAGACCAGTATGGGAAAACATTCTGTTTATGGTTTTCTCAGAATCTTCTGGCAAAATCTATGGTGGTGATGCTTTTCATTTAAGAAAAAGAAAATTGAAACTGTAAACAAGATAAGAGAGTAACTGCGTTTTGAGTTCAGTGCATACATCAATTTCTAGATGTCTTAGAATATATACAAGGATTTTGTTAGTACATCTTGATAGTGTGTTTGAAAAATACTGTTCCTGCCTGTAGTCCCAGCTACTTGGAAGGCTGAGGCAAGAGAATCGCTTAAGCCCCAGAGTCTGAGGTTGCTGTGAGCTGTGACGCCACAACACTCTACCAAGAGCAACATAGTGAGAGACTCTGTCTCAAAAATATAAAAGAAAAGAAAAGAACAATACTGTTCCTGACTTTAAAACTTAGACGGTTAGATTGCTGGTTGAAGGTGAAATATTAAAATGATGTAAAACCACTCAGGCGACATCATGTGGGATGTGTCTTCCAAGTCCTATCCAACCAGGACTCCTGCGTGGCTCATAGCTCTTCCTTAAACAGCCTGGCCGTTTCATGGCCTGGCACACACAGCCAGAAGAGATTTTGGTTAACTGGTTTCAGTGTGGCTCTAAAGTCCCCTCCTTATATCCCAGATCTGAAAGATATGTCATTTTTAGCATATGCTTTTTTTAATTATTATTATTTTTTTTTTGCAGTTTTTGGCCGGGGCCGGGTTTGAACCCGCCACCTCCGGCATATGGGGCCGGCGCCCTACTCCTTTGAGCGACAGGTGCTGCCCCTTTAGCATATTCTTGTTAGCCCTTGTTCCCTGTCCAAACAGCTGTGGAGAGGAACCCTTTACTGTTTCTCACCAACACTGAACCTGCACAGCATTGGGTGAGCATTGGAAAAGTAGTTTTGCTTTCTAATAAGCCCTTAGAAGACAAAAAAAAAAAAAAAAAAACCAATGTATCTCATATTTCCCATGATATGCTACATTACGTTAAGAAAAAAAAAAATGGATGCTTTCCCTTTTTCCTTTTGTTTCCTGAAGGTCCAGAGCCACTGAGTATGGCTGTGTGGGTTGTGGACTGCCCAAATTGTTACATCTAAGGAAACACCATTCACATCCTAAACATCAGAGGCTTTAATATTTGTTATGTTAATTTTCTGAAAGATCGCGTAGAAGAACTCTGTGCCGGCACTGTAGTCACCCGCTTCCTCTTGTTTTCCCTGGTATAAGAAAGGGAATAATGAGAGTATCCAACCAGCAGACTGCTCGACTCCAGCTTGATTCCAACACTCTGATCTTTTCTAACCAAACACGTTTTTCTAGGGGTTCCCCAGCCTGATTCCAGCCTGTAGAGCTATGCTACGTCCTTATCCCCTCTTGCAGCCTACACAGCCCTGCTGTAAACTCATGCCAGCTGCTTAGCAATAGTGCCCAGGACACTGCAGCCAGGTTTTGGTGGAACTTCAGGGTCTTTTTTTTTTTTTCTTTTGAGACAGACTCACACTATGTTGCCCTCAGTAGAGTGCCGTGGCATCACAGCTCACAGCAATGTCAGACTCTTGGGCTTAAGCGATTCACTTGCCTCAGCCTCCCAAGTAGCTAGGACTACAGGCACCCACCACAATGCCTGGCTAATTTTGGGTTGTACTTGTCATTGTTGTTTGGCAGGCCCAGCCTGGGTTTGAACCCGCCAGCTCCAGTGTATGTTGCTGGCGCCCTCGCCGCTGAGTTATAGGCAGGGAGCCAGAACCTCAAGGTCTTAAAGAGAGGACAATTCTTGGCACACCCACATGCCCTCTGATAAAGCCCCTAACCTGGTGGTGTAGTACAGCAGCGCTTGGTGCAGAGGTCACAGTCACATACTTCTAAAAAATAAGTCATATTCTTTCTCAAAAAACTCCAAAGGATCCTTTAATTGTGTAGGAACTTTTTATAATGGTATGCACTAATAAATTAATCATTACTCATATTAAATATATGTTACATATTATGTATTTTTATTCAAATTATAGTTGTAAAATAATTATAACTTGTAATTTAAATAATTGAAATTATATAACTTGACTTGTTTAATTATGAATAATTTAAATGGGCTCGGCACCTGTGGCTCAAGTGGCTAAGGTGCCAGCCACATACACCTAAGGTGGCAGGTTTGAATCCAACCCGGGCCTGCCAAACAACAAGGACAGCTGCAACCAAAATATAGCCGGGTGTTGTGGTGGGCATCTGTGGTCCCAGCTACTTGGGAGGCTGAGGCAGGAGACTTGCTTAAGCCCAGGAGTTGGAGGTTGCTGTGAGCTGTGATACCACGGCACTCTACCCAGGAGGACTTCTTGAGGCTCTGTCTCAAAGAAAAAAAAAAAAAAAGAATAATTTAAATGAATTTTCCTGATAACAAAAGTAACATTTCACTAAAATGTTTTTGACCAAAAAAATTTTTCCAAAGACAACATAAATTACCCACCATCTTACTATTCAAAGATAGCCGTCGTTAGCATTTTTCTTTGGCCTTCTAATTGAACTTTTTCTTTTGAGCCCATGTATGTTTTTTTCCAAACTGACCTTATATTAATGGATTGATGAAACTTGCTATGGTCTCAGTGATATAATCAAGAACACGTGCCTATAAGAGGGACTTCTGAAACATGATTTACAGTGGTTAATGTCCCATACCATGAAAGTGCCATAATTTGTTTCACCAATTTACTACTGTAAATTCTATTTATACCAATCCTATAGATATCTCCAAGTATTTTTCAAAACGATCATTTTGTACAGAACATCTTTGCCCATATATCTCTATGCATTATTTTTTATGATATTTCCTTAAATAGTATGTAGAGTATTTCCTTAAATAGTATGTAGTAGAAATAGTAGTATTTCCTTAAGTAGTATGTGGTAAAAATACTTAGTGAAAGGTTTTCTCCGGAGAGGTTATACTAATTTGTATGTGCAGCAGTGGCCAGTTCCCATCCTCACCAGTGACATTATGCAACTTTATTGTAAATCACACACTGTCCTAGGAGTTTACTATGGTTTTTCCAAAGGAATTTCGGTGCATTCCGTCATAACACACTTTATTTAGCAAACTTTAGGTTACCTTTAAAGAGAAGCTTATGACCCCGCTATGTTTTGCCACAGGTATACCCGTTGTCTGTGCTGTATTCGAGTTTCTCTGTCACGTCACCCCCAGTTCTTACACACAGATCCTAAATCAATTATGGGTGGAGAAACCAGAACAGATCCTACTCGGATAATTCTCCCTTCTCTGTGCCTGGGATACCACCTCCACCCAACCTCCCCTTCCTGCCCACCTTCCTCTCTAACCCTTCACAGAAGAGACATGCCAGGGCTTCTTGCCCACCCGCCACTGGGCCTGAACCCCACTCTCCATTTCTTAGCCATTCTCTTGAGCTCCCCTTTCAGCCCAGGAGAACCAGGCCTGAGAGACAGCCATGGGAGTGGGGGGGCAGGACATGTGGGCAGACGGTACCTTCCACCAGGCCGGCCCTGCTGTGCCGAATAAAGGTGCCGAACTGCTGAAAAATATTTTTTCTTCTTTTAGTCATACCATCACAATTCAAGATTGTTTTATAATTGTTTAAAAACTAAGGAACCACTTGAATGAAAGAAACCTGGCCCTGTTTTAATCCACTAAGTCACTAAGCCTTGTGTTTCACAGATGATGATGATTAAACCTGTGGCCAAATTCCACTCAGACATTGACTATTTTTGCACCTGTAAGTCATGATGTGACTTAGGCTGAGCAAAAGTAATACCAATGCTAAGCATCTGCCATGAGCATACTGATGATTTATTTTTCATGGCTACGATAAATTGCAAGGAGATTTTCATTTCAAAAGGCGCCATCCAGGCTTAGAATAAAGCCATATGGTCAATGTCAAGTCTGAGGTGTACAGGCAGGGAAATAAGAACAGGGTGAAATGCAAAGTGACTTCATAACTGCCCCTGTCTAAGTAGGGGTCTGGCTCAGTGACGAGGCCGCCCACCGCCCATCCCCACTGTCACCGCCACCTCCAGGCCTGAAGACCCACACTTTGGAAGCCCAGCCCCTCCCCAGCACAGGCCGCAGCCCTGCTCCACCTGGGCAGCTGGTCTTCCCAGACTCCCTTCACTTCGCCGTCTAGTCTACAGCGACAGTATTTTAAGTGGGAAGCTGGCCATGTCACTTAGTGTTTAAAATAATTCCGTAGCTCTCAATCACCCTGTGGTTAAAAACAAGTCTTGGGTGCGGAGTACTGCCCGGCGGCCTTTCCTCCCAGACTTACACCCAGGAGCCCTGCTGGCACTGTGAGCTCCGCCTTCCTGAGCACATTAACGTCTAGATTGCTCCCTCGCTGCTTTATGTCTTTGCACCTGCTGTTCTTCCACCTGGAAGACCTTAATTTTTTTTTTTTTTTTTTGAAGCAGTCTTACTCTGTTACCCAGGCTAGAATGGCATCATCATCAGCTAGCTCACAGCAACCTCAAACTCCTGGGCTCAGGAGATCCTCCTGCCTCAGCTCCTGAGTAGCTGGGACTACAGATCCCTGACATAATGCCCAGCTAATGTTTCTATTTTTGGTAAAGAAGAGTCTTGCTCTTGCTCAGGTTGGTCTCAAACTCCTGAGCTCAGACAATCCATCCACCTCGGCCTCCCAGAGTGCTAGGATTGCAGGCGTGAGCCACCACACCTGGCCTTGGAAGAACCTCTTTTTCTGTTGGCACATCCCTGGTGATACAGCCCAAATGTCACTCTTCTTCAGGAAACCTTTCCCTGTTTGCCCAGAGGGATCTGTACTCTGCACTTGCATAGCACTGCACTTGTATCTCCGTCATGGTTTATCATCTTGTCTTTATAATTTCTTTATCTATTCTGCCTGCCTTATTAGATATGGATATTTTGAGG